ACGTGAATACAAAAAAAAAACAAGCCGATCAAATCACAAATGCTCCGACATAGAACAAGTCAAGCCGACATGTGCAAAAAGGTCCAAAACAAGCTTTCAAAAACACAGCTAGGGGATGAGAGTGGAATGGGAAAGAGGGGAGGGGGTTGGGGTGATGCATGACTGTAAGGGTGGGAGGTAGTGTTAATAGTAATGAAAGGGGGAAAAAAATGATTAAATTGTCTAAATTACCCTTCTCCATTAAATATAAATTAAGATATAAATAGATTATTAAAATTGATATCATTTTAAAAGTTTAAAATTTAAATTGAAATAATTAAAAAATTAGAATTTGATTTATTACCAAAAGCGAAACCTTAGAATTATTTTATTTTATTTTTTATAATTTTCCCTGAAATTATTTACACAAATTTTCAACATTAAATATTTAAACTCATGCTATGCCACTGCTTCCTTATTAATTTATGGCTAGCATACCAAACCTATGTCTAGAAGATACAACTACATGAAATTTACTAGCATCTATTTTGATTTTAGAACAAAATATTTAAATGCATTCCTCAAAGTTGATGATCATTGTCTTCTCATCATGAGAAACAGCTAGCAAACCTCAAGGGGTTGGTTTGGCGGTTAATGATTGAAGTTTGGAAATGCGTTTGCTCTAATTTTTTAGGATCAATCCATAACATAAATTCTTCTTGTTTGAATTTATTATAGAAAAATTATATACAAGTATCACATCATTGGGTTTACTAATTTTTTTGTTAGAGTAGCATTATTATATAAACATTAGGTCACTTATATTTTCCTATACAATTAACATATTTTAATTTCTCCTTAACTTTGAACCTTCAAAATTATTACAAGTTTTAAAAATTTTGCGAAATTTCCAATTCTTTCAATATTAATGTAAAGTTATAAAGGCATACACTCACCTGAAAAACTACTGCATCGAGGATGATGATCACAATGTTACTAATCACACACTTTAAAGAAGAAATGAAAAATACAAATTTCATGCCCAAAAAAATAAAAAAATAAAAATTACATTTCAGCAATTCTCCTAAAGAAATTTATTGAATGTCTCACATTTGTCATTTTTGTTTATTTGTTTAAGAATTTTTCTCTAAACTACTCACCTTTTCTTTTTTTTTGTTTTTTTTTTTTTTTTTTTTTTAAATGGAGGTGCACGCAACTTGGTAACTTGGTCAAGTTAAGCCTTAAAGCTCACCAACCCAAACATTTTGGTTTGGTAGGCTCTGATTCTTGAGCAAGTTGATTCAGTTATTGAGAAAATTAGAGTATCAATTTATGTTGATTTAATTCTAAATTATTAATTTGGTAACCCAATCTAACTCAAGAAATGATGGTTACATCTATATTTAAGTTTCACTATGTTGTTTAGATGTAAAGTTTAAAATTATTATTTGAATAATTTAACAATATCCTTAAGAATTTTTCTTATGCATATGTTTCATACCTAAATAGTTTACATTTTGTATATATTTCAAATAACTTCAGTAACAAAATAATGAAAATTAATGTCACATGCATCATGTTAACCATCTAAAAATTGAAGTTAAACATATATGTTAAAAAATTAATGTACTAAAAAACTATACATTTTTTTTGGAATGGATATATGTTAAAAAATTAATGTACTAAAAAACTACACATTTTTTTTTGAACTGCAAAGCAAAAGGAAGATTTTTGTTAGAACAAAATCAAAAGGAGAACAAGAAACAAAAGAAAACAGAACGAGAGCATGGGAGATACTGTATCATTGTCTAAACACCATATCCCAACTAGATTGGCACCGTGTGGTAGACCAATCGCGTGCAACTCGTTGCCAAGAAAAAGAGTTCAAGAGTTTCCAACTCAAATAGAACAACCATACATAGGCGCAGTACCCTGACCACCCCAATAACAAAAGAACAATCAAGCTAAAAATACTTAGGATCACCAGCCACCGTGGAGGCAAAACCAAATCTGACTCAAATTAGAGACGAAATCATGGATTGAGAAAGCCAATCCAGCAGTGTTATACTTCATCCTGAGTGCAATTCTCACCTTGATAATTTCACCCAAGTCTGCCAAGTTGGGCGGGACACCATTGAAGAGACACACTTATCTCTAAATAGACCAGATGAGAGCAAGTGAAATGGCTATTCCTTACAAAATTGTAGTGCACTGCAAAAGGTTTATTAAAACATAAATGCCCTGAATATTCCTTACATGATTAGTAAATTGTATGCTATATATTAACTTATAGTTAGGAATAGTTTGGATATATTAACATATAGTTAGGCCTAGTTTGGATAAAGTTACTATAGAATGATGAATTGCAAAGATTTGGCATAAACATAATGGTAGTGGATGCTTTTTAAGTTTGAATCTTGTATAAAGTACTATTTGTTAAAGTTGTACACAAATTGATCATGTAAAGTATATGCCATAATTATTTAATTTAGAATTTTTTTTATTTTTTTTATGTACAGGCTATCTCTTTTGATAATATGCCGACTATTAATTGGATGGAAAAGGGTTTACTTAATGAAGTCAGAAATCAACGTCGTTGTTGTAAGATCATTAAATCTTAGTACTTTTTATATTAATCTTGAACTACATATTTTTTTCTTCATATACATGTGAATTTTTTTTTTTTTTGCCAGGTTGTTGTTGGGCCATTGTTTCATGTGCAGCTATTGAGTCATTGTATAATATTAACAATCAACCTACGCAGCTATTTCAATTAGCTCCACAAGAATTGGTCAATTGTGTGAAGAAAGATTATGAAACATGTTATACATGCTCGATCAATGAAGGTTTTCGATATGCCATACAATATGGCATAAGAAGCGAGATTGATTGCCCTTTCCAAGCCCAAAAACACCCTTGTGTCAATAAAGACAAGGATTCGGTAAACATATAAATAATTTTATTTTTATTTTATGGAAACAAAATTACTATTTTGCTTAGTTGATTTGATTTGGTATTATTTTATTTACTTATGTTTTGTTATAAAAGCCTGCTTTGAGAATTAAAAGCTTCAAGAACATAGACAAAGAAGATGAGGATGGTATAATTGAAGTTCTGCTGAAACATCCTCTAGGTGCAGCAATTTTTTTAACTGAAAAGTTGAAAAAATACAAGAAGGTTTGTACCCAAAAAAAATAAAATAAATGATTATGCTTTATTTTATTTCATAGTTGCATTCCTTTTATTTTTTTTATGAGTTATTATTCATATTGTAGGGTATATACGAAGAACCCAATGAGATTTTTAAAAAAGATGCAAATCATTCCGTATTGCTAATGGGATGTGGTACAGATAAGGAGACGGGAAAGAATTTCTGGGTGATTCAAAATTCTTGGGGTACAAGTTGGGGCATGAATGGTTATGCCAAAGTCATGCGTAGTTCAAGTCTTCCTACTGGATCACGACCTATCCTATCTAGATTATCATATCCAGAAGATGTGAACCAATTTGTGTGTTCAAAAGAACAGATAATTGAGTATTGTCCCACTAGATAGTAGATTATGTAATAGTTCCTTATGTGTCTTCTTTAGGTAATATAATAGTATAGATACTTACATTGTAAAGACAGTGTATGTGAAAATTGTATGCACATACTTTTACTAATTTGACATTTAAATGAGTATGCAAGTTCTTCTATTTTGGTGGCAGTTGGCTGTAATGAAAGTTTAACTGGACAGTGTAGTTTATAATTATGTATTTCAAAATACCAAATTGATTTTAGTAAAAATATTAGTTGGCTATTTCTAGATGTTGAGTCATTAGGAGTAGTTTGGTTTCTCATGTGGGTAGGGAAGGAAACTCTCTTACTCATTGTTTAGCTCCAATGGCTGCCTAGTTTGTCCACGTGGACCTGCTAACAATGGCTGTCTAGTTTGTCAACCCTCCAGCATAGATGGAAGAGGTCTCTCCCTCTATGATTAACCTGGATAGATCTTAAGTTAATTTCTAATTTGTAATGGTTTGTGGGCAATCCATCATCTTGGATACAGGAACAATCAAGAGGATTCATAATCAAGAGAAACACACAGTTCAAGTATTTTCTCTGTCAATGATTTATACAAGTGCAATGAGAATTTTAACAACTCTTCCTTCTAAGGCTCTAAAGTGGTTGAACTTGTGAAAGCTAGGGTGGCCTTTTGGAACAAATATATATATATATATATATATATAATAAAAAACAGAGCTAATGCTTCGTTTGTTTGGGCAAAAAATATTTTCTAAAACATATTTTTTGCGTTTATTGGTGTTTGTTACAACAGAAAATAAAAATAATATTTTCTATGGTCAACAGAAAACAAGCCTATTTGGATGAAAAATATTTTCTACTTTTGAAAGGTGAAAAATATTTTTCGAACTAAAGTTTCACCAATGCTATCGCATTACCACCACTACGTACTATCACCTCTACCACCACACCACCACAACCATCACCATACCACAACCACCACTACCACCACCACCAACACCTCCACCTCCTTCCCGCTGCTGTCGCTACTATCACCACTAATGCAAGTAATAGTACATTAGTTTGAAAAACGCAATTGAACGTAGGAAAACATTTTTTATGGAAAACATTTTATGAAAAAAAAAATTGTAATTTTTTACATTAAAATATACTTTTCGTCAAAACAAACATAGCAAAGTTAGGGAGGCCTTCTGGATCAAAACTAGCCCTCCCTTCTTATATAGACTAGTGAGTAGTGAATGACCAGTTCTTAAAGACACTCTAAGTAAAAATAATCTTTTGAACCATCCTTCAGTGAAAGAAAATTTTAATTTATTTCACATAATTGAATGCTAAATTCCCAAATTACAATTACACTATCAATGAAAAAAACTATGTTTACATTATAATAGTTAGTGTACATATTAGCACTCAAGACTTTTAACCCTTAAATGTTAAATAATCACAAATGATTAGATTAAAAAAAAATAACGGATACAACATGCCTAATGAAAAACCCTAAGTTATGTGATTCATGATTCGAAATATATTCAATTACTACAAATCCCAAAAACACACAAAACAAATAATCTAAATCAACACAAATGAAAGTGATTGAGCTTGTTGTCTCACAATTGATAAATCAATACAAAAGATTTAACGTGGAAAAACTAAAATTGGAGCACCTCTAATTGTGATAGAAAAAATCACGAACTAAAAGCCACTAAACAATCCACTATGAAGATAATGAAATTACACAAGAGTACACGCCATGAACCAATGCTCACTGAAGAATTGACTTCCACTCCTTGTGTCTCTTCCACCAACATCTTCGTCTCAGAATTGCTTAGCCTAGTGTTGAATCCATAATATCCAAGTCGAATCCACGAGGATGAGCTACTTCGAATACCTTCAAAGCCTCCAAGCTCAAACCCTTCGGAATCCACCGATGAATGCTCTAGAAGTTGAATCATAACAAGCCCATTGATATGTGCAATTTAAACCATGTGAGGCAAAAAACTCACAAGATCAAGGGAAACAATAGCAAAGCTCTCCATAAGAATATACAAAAGTTTTCAAGTCTCAGATCTGGAAGTCGTAACATTAAAATATGCAATTGCGGTAGATTTAAACAAAACAGTGTTATGAATACCACTCAAGTAAAGGAAAGACCGTTCGAGCAGTGTGTCTAAGAGGTAGTGGAACAAACAACACACCTGTCAATTCACTCGAGCTCTAAAGCTATCGCTTCAGTGGTAAAAGAAACCTCCCAATATCTCAAAGCAAAGACTGAAATATTGGAAGGCCAACTTCTTTGCTCGTGCTCGAGTTCAAGCTCCTTTGGTCGAGCGGTCCATGTAGATTGACAAGATAAACAAGGATCCCATACATAGGACACAAAACAACCAAAAACAATAATACAACTTAAATGTGTTTGTTCGCGAAATTGACAACACAAGGAAGCTAACACCTAACTCAAAATCCATTCAATGCAGTACAAATTAGGTTGCAACACCACCATCATATTCATCAGCCCAACCCAATATTTGAGCAAATTTAAAATGAACCATGAGATTACATTAAAGCATCAGCAAAGATAAAATAAGCATATACCTGTACTTATGATCCTTTAGATATTATATCAAACAACCTATGTATCAAAACCTGATAAGATGTACGAGCAAAAAGGAGAGGTTTCATTAAAGCATTAAGGATGCTACACATAACCCAGTGTTAATACCAAAAAAGGAAAGTAAGAATTTTGAAGTGTCAAAGACTACATTAGATAGAATAAGACGGTAAATGAATGCAATTAAAAGAAAGTTGGAAAAGATGCCATCCATATTGGAAGCTTTCATTGTTCAACACAAAATATTTTAAAAAGTAACCATCAACCACTTAGTTCAAACAAAAACGATTTAAGAATACAAAAATGATTAGTTCAAACAAAAGGGAGAAACCATCAACCAGTTAAAATTTGAAAATTTTACTTGGAAGTCCCATCCTAGAAAAGTATGTACCAAAAAATTTTAAGAATTTTCTTGTAAACTATTAAGTCTCATTTAATTTGGAAAGGTAGCTTGAGGTCCTTTCATTATATTTTTTGGAGATTCCAAATGTGAATAGGTTTCATTTGTGCACTATTGTCTTATTAAATTTTTGTCAAATATGTCATTATTAGAATGTGACATCATTCTAATGTGTACACTATCATCTTATTAAAATTTTGTCAAATGTGTCATTCTTCTTTAATGTGACAATGAGATATTTGTGCACTATTTTCTTATTAAACTTTTTTCCAAATATATCATTCTTAATGTAACAATGAGATATTATTCTACGTGTACATTATTTTCTTATTTAATTTTTGTAAAATGTGTCATTGTGACAATGAGACATTTGTGCACTATTGTCTTATTAAACTTTTTTCAAATGTATCATTTTTAAAATGTGACATTGGGACATCATTCTAATGTATCTAGTATTTTACTATTATTATTATTATTATTATTATTATTATTATTATTATTATTATTATTATTATTATTTAAGTGTGTCATTCTTTTCAAAATGTGACAATGATATATTTGAGCATTATTAAACTTTTGACAATTGTGTCATTCTTAAAATGTGATAATGGGACATCATTATAATGTTTATTACGTTTCCAAATGTGGGTACGTTTCATTTGAGATATTTTAATATGAAATAGGACTTATAAACATATAAAAATATTTATGGGATAAAATGGTCCATAAGTTATGAAAATAAGATTTATTATATTAATGCTCCCTTAAAATTTTCCCACATCTCAAAGGGCACTTCACCAACATTAAATCCCAATGTTTCCCGTGTTTTTCAATTTAAACTCCAAAGTTTTAATTTAAACAATTAAAACCCTGACGTTGCTTTCATGTCACAATATAACCCTTTGTTTATCTCTGTTTGATGAAGTAACAAATATATGTCCATAAGTGGAACAAATTCTAACAAAGCATTAACAAAAGTAAGCACATAATTCTCATCAAAATCATTAAAATGAGCTAAACATGCTTCAAGAGGATTAATTGAAGAAGGGAGCAAAAACTGGTCCTGCACAAGAGTGTTAATCAAGTTCACCTCATAAGTATCCTCAAAATTCCTATTTGAATTCAAAATATAAAAATTATTTAATTCCAGTCATATTACCAAAAGATAATTTCATAACACCACTTCTACAATTAATCGAAGTATTAGAAGTTGCAAGAAATAGGCAACCTGTAACACCCTCAAAATAAACCCATAATATATAACATTAACATGCATTAATAAAATAAAACAAGTCATTAAATTATCCATCAGAGTACTTTTATTGAAAGACATCACATGTAACATCAAAAGTAAATGCCCTAAGGGCTTACATCTTTCCAAGCCAACACTTGGGTTTAAGCTCACTTAGACCTAATTGTTCATAAACCAAGCAAGGCAAAAGATTCACATTAGCCCCAAGGTTGAGCAGTGCTCGCTTTATCCAATGATTCCCAATCACACATGAAATTGTGGGACATCCCGGATCCTTATATTTTAATGGAGAATTTTGCTGAATAATATCACTTACTTGTTCTGTCAAAAAGGCTTTCTCCTGTACATTAAGCTTTCGCTTGACTGTAATTTTGCATATCACAAGATTTGTTTATATTGCATCTAACAAACACTACAAGAAATCACACTTTTGCTGACTAAAAATTTAGTCGGCAAAAGTCCATTTTTAGTCGGTAAAAGTTATTCGCGACCAATTTTTTTGGTCGCCACTTTGGTCGCCAATTGAGGGTCGGCAAAAGTAATTAGCAACCAAAACTGTTGTTAGTCGGGAAAAAGTTAAATTTGCCTATTAAATTTTTAATTGCTAAATATATCATTACTGTGACTAATCCATTTAGTCGCTAAAACACTTTAGTTGCCAAAAGTGACATATTCCCGACCAAACATGTTAGTCGTCGATTGTCACATTTCTCGACCAAACATGTTAGTCACCAATTGTCAAATTCCACGATCAAATATGTTAGTCGCCAAAAGTCACAATCCACGACCAATAAATTAGTCGCCAAAAGTCACATTCCACGACCAAACATGTTAGTCGCCAAAAGTAATGTTTGCACGACTAAAAGTTTAGTCGGCAATAGATCTATTCACGACTAGAGGTGCAAATCGAGCGGGTTTGGTCGGGTTAGGAGGTTGTCCAAGCCTAATCCAAGTTGTGCTGAGATCTACCCAGGCCCGCCCAAGCCCGAATTATTACCCGAGGTTGTCTGTCCAAGACCGACCCGAGTTAAACTCGAATTGCCCGAGTTGCCCAAATTGCCCGAATTATTATTATTATTTTTTTTTGTGCAACTACATTATTAAATTATTAAAATTTGACCCTATTTACATTTTTTTTATGTATAAAAAATCATTAATACTATCAAAACAAATAATTTATATAATGTAAGAGAAATGCCGTTATAATAATCTTTACAATTTATGAGTGAAAATAAAAAATAAAAAAAAAAAGTAAGATTTTATGTTATTTGTATATATAATATATATTCAATATGATTTAATAATTTAAATTACTTTAATATCATGTAATGGTTAATAATTTTTATATATATTTAATATTTTTATATATCTATATATGTATAATTCGAGTTTTGGATTGCTCGGGTTATTTGATGTCTTTGCCCAAACCCGTACCGAATTTGAAAATATCTTGTCCAAGCCCTAAAAAAATTCGGGCTGGGTTTGGGTTACTCAGGTTGAGCCCGTCCAAGTTGCACCTCTATTCACGACCAAACTCTTTGGTTGTCAAAGGTTTACCGACTAATTATTTAGCCGCCAAACGTACCATTTTGCCTAACAACATTGTGGTCGGCAAAACCACAATTCAGTCGCCAACATCCAACAAAATAAACCTGTAATTGAAAACAAATATTCCATCCAATCCATTCAATATAATCTATAATTAAAAAGAATTATTCTTACCAACACAGTATATGAATCATGAACATTCAACGAAATACATAAATCATCCAATCCTGAACATGTTTAATAAAAGTCAGCAACTATTATAAATTTCCATCCACAAGTAATTCCAAAGTACATATTCCTCCAATTTAAATTTTTATCCATGCGCATCTATCAAAAAATATAACTAGTCTACCCAAATATTTTTCATATACACCCATCCAAAAATATAACTACTAGTCTATCGAAATATTTTCCATACACATCTATCCAAAAATATAAAACACTTCCAAAAATGCTTATAGCGCCAATTAGTCCTGTACAATTTAGCTTCGTGCACGAATTCATCCATCTGTACCAAAGAAAAAGAAAAAGAATGTCAAGAATTGAATAAGGTATATAATTTAAGTAAAACTTGTAAAGCTGAACTTACCAAGGCTTACCAGATTATCTTGGTATTCAACCACCCAACCAGTCAACTAATTGAAATAGAGAAGAACAACCAATGTAATGAAATTACAACTAGAAAAGACAATAAAGCTAAAAAAATGCTCTTCCCAAACACCCCCATATAACCCACACATCAGAGAGTTTAGGAAATAAATTATAGATGATAAACTTACTTCAAAAATTTCACCTAATTTTCCATGGAAAAATTATTGAGAACCGCCCAAAGCATATCAATGACATAGTGCTCCTGTCAAAAGAAATGATAAGTAGCTGTCAACTACAAAAATACGAAAGCTCAAAGTAGCGATACTAAAAACTTCATCATAAAAACAGATAAATAAAAAACTTAATCCTGATCATAATTTGAATTCCTTCGACTTTTTTAAAAACCCATAGAGCAATACACCACGCGTTAGCCAGAAATGAGTTGTTAAGGTAGCAAGATTAAGAGGTCTTAATCCAAACCCTGCACTATAAATTACATGCTATTCATTTCCAATTTAGTAACAGAACCGGTAGAGGAAATAGTTTTCTTTCCAATAAAAAACAGAACATAACGAACAAGAAAAAAGATCATCTAGTTAAGCCCAAATCTGCATACTAGGAAACAATAGAAATGCGACAAAACAAACGGCACTAAAAATGGACTACCCAAAATAAAGTTATTCCCAAACTAGGAAACAATAGAAATGCGCCAAAACAAATTGCGCTAAAAATGGACTTCCCAAAATAAAGTTATTCCCAAAATACGAGCTCATACCAAATGAAGTCGAATGATCACAATATTTTTACTGGAGATAGTTCAATAAGTTAGGAAGATATTTCAAGAAGAACTCTAGAGCTAAAAATCACTTTATGATGGAGAACTCATTTTTGGAAGAAAACTGGTATATTCAAACAGTGAGTTCAGCAGACTTCAGCACAGGTAGGCTGAGTTAAAAAATGAACAGATGCATCAAAAGATGTCCAAACTAAGTGAGACCAGAACCATAGGAAAGGTATTTGAGTTAGGGATATTTTATCAGAAGGATGAAAAGTCTAAAAATCACATCAAGGGGGTGAAAATACAAGTTCAAGCAGTACTGGTCTGTTCTTGTCGCGTTTTAGAAAAATGATCATAACTCTCTCAATAATTAATATTTTTCAGTGATTCTTGTGTACATAGAAAGGTATCTCATATATTTTTTATTTTTTTAGTTTCCTGAATTTATTCAGCTCCTCAACCTGATTTTGTGATGCAACACTTTCAGCTCAACAAATATAAAAATGCTACATATTAAGTGTAATATCCTTTATGAACTGGTATGATGGTATTTAGTTCCTACTGGACTGTTGTATTATTGATAACATTTCAGATCTCTAATTTGGAATTTTTTAATCTAAATGATTCTCAGAATCAATGAATAAAATAAAATAAAAGGTTGTGTCAAAGTTAGAGAGCATATAAAGTAGCACCAGCATGATTAAAAAATTCACGGCATTATTTTATAATCTATAGCAAAGGTTAAACTGAAGTTCAAATTAGTATCAGAAACATGGATTAAGTGAATCCACTTCTTTTCGGTAACAATTCATCATTTATCAGGTCTGGGATCACCCAGAAAATCTTGCTTTCGAAAGCTTGGAGCTTGGATTTTCTATGTTCTGAAAATAAGGAGTTCCAAAACTGTGCATTACAGTATGACGAGATTTTGTTCATTACAAAGGAGAAAATTAGGGCATTGGACACAACTGTACACCAAAAGAGCATACTTACATCTTGGACAATTGAAATCTTTCATGCATGGAAGAATTCTCTTTATGTATAGATTCCTAATAAAAGAAAAAATAAAGAAAATTTGTCAGAACTTAAGAAAATTGCCATTTAAATGGGAAGTATGCAGGAGGAAGGAAGAAACTAAAATAGAGTAGTCTTACATGTTCTCCTGACAAGCAGGCTGATTAGGGCCTTGCCATGTAAAGTTATTGTCAGAACTACATAATTAATTAGAAATAAATGGAAAATATATAATTGAATAATTTCAGGGACACTTAATTTAGGAAGATTTGTAACTTAAAAAAAAGCATATACATATACATATGCATATACATATACATATACATAAGAAGCCCAAATCCACTCCCAAAACCCCAAAACCCAAAACTAAAACCCCAAAACCCCTCACAATAATAGAAAATAGCAATTGTAACCATACATCAAACCATCCAATTAACAATGTTGAACAAGTGAATTTTTATCATTATTGCTGTTACTGTAAGTAAGCTAGCACATTTATTTATTTTAAAGCATTGAGCTTGAGGTTATTGGTCAATCCCTATAACCCACCAAAAAGGACAAGGTCTACCAAGAAGCACTTTGCAGTCCCAAAAATATATATCACAAGCATGGTATAAATAATTTAACAATATTAGCAAAGGAGTGCAAGCTGGAGATAGAATCCTACATAGGCCTCCTGTCCCAGATGCCTCAACATTTATAAAAGCTCCAATTGTGTCACACCATTTATGTGATGTCATGAAGCCATGTGAACCCTGAAATATTGGAGACCGTTAACAAGTTCAATGATTATTAGCTGGAGAACACAACACTAGACTCCTATTAGCTTAAAATAGGCAATTGTGCAAAAATAATACATTACCATTTACAACATTTGCCATTTGCAGTCTATCATACATTTTAAAACAACAGTGGCTTATCCAAAGAAATAAATAAATAAACAACAATGATAAACAGATCATGATCTGCCAAAATGAGTAGTCACAGCACACAAGTCATGATGGGCCTATTGACTTTCTGCACATGCTTCCATTCAAGTAAAAAAGTAGTTACTCAACATTAAAATATATATGATCAAAAAGTATATTAGCAATCAAAACCAACAAAGAATATGCAATGTGAGCAGAACTGTCCTATTTTTCGCTTCGTCCACTCCGCCTAAAGTGTACAAATAACCCCATTTATAGTGCAGGCAATGTTGGGATTGAAATTAAATGCAAGGAAAGGAAGAGGAATAAAATAACTACGCATTTATGTAAATAAAGATATACATTGAAATGGATTAACTTTGCAAAATATCAAGCCAAAATCCTGTGACACTGACAATATGCAAACCATAATCTTCATCCCTCTAACTCTCTCTATGTTTTGAGGGAAAATATTGACAAACAAAAAAGATGATTAATAATGGAAAGAAAAATAGAGGAAATCTAAAAATTGTGTTACAAATGGCAAATCTCAAAAGGTGACCAGATTGCTGTAGTACAAATTCTATTTCTAGAAACCACTTTGCCTTGCTTTAATAATTTTTAGATCCATAGAAGAAAAAACAAAGTACTGTTTAAAACATAACCAAATGCAACATAAATTTTGGGCATCATACTTACACAAACTTCAAATTCTTTCCAGTTATGTCATTTGGAATTTCTCCCACTAACTTGTTAAAACTGACATCCCTGTCCAAATCACAATACAAAGATATATATATATATATATAGAGAGAGAGAGAGAGAGAGGGCAGACCGTCGAGGCAGACAACATCGAAGGGTTGAACACGGTGGTAATCGAAGAGAGCTTCAAGTTGTTCTTCGGTTGATTCGGCCTGTAAAACAGAGAAATCGAAAATCAAGTTCAGAAACCCTAGAAAAAAAAAACAAAACAAAACAAAACAAAAACAAAAACAAAAACAGTACTTGGAAGATTAGGGGGCTAGAACTTGAAGTTTCACACCATTAGGGTAGAAGAAATTGAGGCCGAAGTCGCAGTAATCGTCAAGGAAGAAGCAAAGGTGGGAGTTGGGATCGTGTGGGGTTTGAAGGAAGCAGTTCTGATTGTAGAGTTTTTGGGAGGGTTTGAGAGTGTTGGGGTAGCGTAGTGATTGGAGTACGAGGAGGTCGAGGTGAGATTGGGTGAGGTTGGTGGTCACAGACTCTGTGTATTAGAGAGAGAACAAAAGGAGGTGTAAACAAAACAGGGCGCCGATATTAATTAGGAGCGCTAAATTTGAAATGTCAAATATTTTAGTTCTTTTGGCGACCAAAACAATTTAGTCGTTGAAAATAAATGTTTGGCGACCAAATTTTTGGTCGCCAAAGAAAAAAATAAAATTTTTATTTTTTATTTGGCAATTAAAAATTAAATTAAATAATTTTTCATCTGTGTGTGAGAGAGAATTGGCAAATGTTAATAATTGGCGACTAAAATATTGTTGTAGCCAAAGCTTAATTAACGGCGACTAAAATATTAGTCGCCAAAAGTATTAATTTGGCAACTAACTTTTTTTTGGATGGAAAAAATAAATATACGACGACTAATTTTTTTTTGGTCGCCAAAATAAGTTTTTGGGGACCAAAATTTTGGTTGCAAAAAATAAAAAATAATTTTTTTATTTTCCATTCGGTGACTAAATAGTTTTAGTAGCCAAAACTTAATGTATGGCGACTAAAATATTTTTAGTCACTGAAAATAAGTTTTTGGCAATCAAAATTTTGGTCGCCAAAAGATAAAAAATAATTTTTTATTTTCCATTCGGTGACTAAATAGTTTTAGTAGCAAAACTCAATATACGGTGATTAAAACATTTTTAGTCGCTGAAAATAAGTTTTTGGCGACCAAAATTTTGGTCGCCAAAAGATAAAAAATAATTTTTTATTTTTTATTCGGCGACTAAATTGTTTTAGTAGCCAAAACTCAATATACGGCAACTAAAATATTTTTTTGTCACTAAAAATAAGTTTTTGTCGACCAATCTTTTGGTCGCTAATTCCACAACCAACTTATTTTGATTTTTCACGACCAACTTAATTTTTGGTCGCCAAAAGGTGACCTTCTGCGACCAAATTTCTAGTTGGTCGCCAAAACCATACCACTTTCTGTGACCAACTTTAATTTGGGTTGCCAAAATATGACCTTCTGCGACCAACTCATATTTGGTCGCCAAAAACAATGATCATTCGCGACTAACTCATATTTGGTAGCTAAAATGTAACTTTTAGCGACCAATTTTTATATTGATCACGAAAAGTGGTCACTAAAAGTGCTGATTCTTGTAGTGAAAGGTATGTTGACTTTGACTTGTTTGAAGATTTCAAAAATTTCTGAATTTTGGTTCAACTTCTGAAATGGTGGTTGCAACCTTTGAGGAAAAGGAGCAAAAATAGGACATCTCACCTCTTCATTCGACTCAGACTTGTTAGGTTTATCACTACTCTCGGGTTCTAAAACATCCTTCGGCTTTTGAGCCTTCATTGGAATGGTTTTGTCAATAATTTTTCCGCTACGAAGAGTAGCAACTAATTTAAGATGTTCAAGCTGAGTACTAAAAAGGGAATTATCACTAACACCGTATTGACCTTGTGGGTTAGGTAGAGGTTGAGTATGAAATCTACCGTTTTCTTGAATTCTCAATGAAAAGGTTAATTTAATGAGAGTGGTCTTAATATCATTAATGGCTTGAGATCTTTGAACATTTATAGTCGTCTGTCCTTCACTACAAAAAAATACATCTTCGGTGACTAAAAATGCCAACTAAAAAGAATTTGAGCAACAAAGGTACAATCTTTAGATACTAAAAACAATCTTTTCTTTCCTTTTTCATGAGAAAATTATTAGGTTTTTGTAATTGACAATCCAGTTTGACAAAATTCCTTTCAATTGTAATTTTATTTGCTCTTATTTTTCAGTGAGGATGTGAGTGTTTAAAAGCGAATCCAACCTAAATTGTGCCTTGTAATTGGCAATCTTGTTTGACAAAACTCCTTTCAGTTGTAAATTTATTCGCTCTTATGTTTCAGTGAGGATGTAAGTGTTTAGATGCGAATCCAACCAAAATTGTGCCTGTACAGAGGAGTTTGTGATGTTGAGGCTTTCACTGTTGGCCGCTTCGCTGACTATGTACAGGGATCAAGCTGCCTGGTCAGCTTGCAGGGGTCTATGGGGCAACGCCCCATGGCAGGTCCAGTGCAGTGCCCCTGAAGCCCAAGTTGTTTGACCGCTCAAGCGGTCATTTGTGCACTCGAGCTGTGAATGGCATCATCTAGTATTTTGTCAGAGCAGACTAAACTTCTAAGAGAACTTGTTTTGTGCTCGAGCGGTGGAGTCGTGGCTCGACCAATAGGCACGTGTTTTAGTGAGTTCGCTCGAGTGATGAATTGGTCGCTTGATCGGTCTTCGTGATTTAGTTTACTATAAAGTGCGAAGCTTGCTATTTTTAGGGTTTAAGCCATCCAAATTCTGGGAGAGCAAGGCTACGTCCTACCAAGGTTTTCTATATTGGAGGGTATTTTTATGAGTGTTTCCTTGATGATTTGAGAGTGATCAATAGATCTGTGAACTTCATATTAATATCATCAAGGGGGTTTGTTTGTTTTCTTTTATTCACAAAAAAGAGAAGCATTCTTCGATGGATTCTGAGGAACTTGGGCCTGAAGCTTTGGTGGATTCCAAAGTGGCTCATCGTCGTGGATTCGACATCAACGTTGTGGATTTAACGTTGGGCAAGACAATTCCGAGGTGAAGACGGTGGTATAAGAGACACATCAGGATCGGTTCAATTCGGGCGCGGATTCGCTAGATAATTGATTGTACACACATGTAATTCCTTTTTATCTTCTTATTGGATTGTTTTGTGGCTTTGGCCTGTGGTTTTTATTTTTTAATCACGATTGCAGGCGCTTTAATTATGATTTTTTTCATGTTAAATCATTGAACCAATTTGTCTTGATTATTTAATTGTTATTGTTATTTTTTTTTTAAATTGAAACTTAATCACGAATTAATATCTTAGGGATTTAGATTTTTCAGAAATCATTTCAACGAGAGATGTTTTGAAATGCTTACATAACAACATCAGTGGCGATCATTGCATTTCTAAGAAACCTTTAGGTTTCATATATATGTTTGAGCTTAATTTGCTTGTTTTTGCATTATTTATTTATTTCTATTAAAATAATTTTAGTAAGCTCGGAGTGCATTGGTTGTCCTTTTCTTTCAGGAGTTTATATTATCCCTAGTAATCTTGTTAAAATGGTGTTGATTAAACTTGAATAAGCAAATAAGAATTACTTTAATTTATTACTTATAATTATTGGCATTCAATGCAGTATGATTTTGAAGGAGAAAAAGATTTAGTTTAGGATAAACTACCAATAGGTCCTAATAGTTTGACTTAATTCTCATCAAGTCTTATTGCAAATAACTCCTAGTAAAATTTTCACTAAAAATAATTTTTTGTGACGATTTTTTGTATGTCGCTAAAAATTGACAATTAGTGATTTTTTTTTTTTGTCACAGTTTTTATAAATTGTCACTTAAACTTACTATTAATGATTTTTTCTGTGATGAATTTTTCAAACTGTTGCTGAAAGTTGAAAATTAGTGTCTTTTTTTTGTGATGATTTTTTTAAGCTGCCACTAAAATTAGTGACATTTTTTGTGACAAAATTTTCTAACTATTGTTGAAAATTAACAATTAGAGATGTTTTTTTAATAGTGTTTGATGAGAAATGCCATTAATTATCATAGGACTATTAAATAATAAATCCACATATTAAGATCAATACGTAAGTCCCCCTTAAATTTATTAAATTGCTTGCTGAAGCTGGTTTATATGCTTATCTAAGGATTGGTTCTTATGCTTGTGCTGAATGGAACTATGGGTAAAGCTTATAAAATTTTTGTTCCAATCTATTGTATAGTATACAAACCAACAATATATTAGTGAACTTTACCTTGTAGACTTTGTTTTTGAACAGTGGGTTTCCTCTTTGGTTGCTTTTCATACCTGGAATTCAGTTTCGAACTGATAATGAGTCATTCAACGTATTCCCTCCCACTTTGTCCTACTGTTAAATTTTAAATTAATGGCCTAAATATGCTCATTGGACTTCTTTTTGTTTTAGACAGAAATAAAGTGATTAAACAACCAAGATTGTGGACATGATGAAGAAAGAAAAACTCTATGCAGCCCAAGGCGAACCCATTATCTTATCCCATGTTAGTTCCTTAGTTTTATGTAGATTTTCCATATACATGCACCATTGTGTATAATTAGTGAAGTCCAATATGCCTTTCTAGGTGGAAGACACATCTTTGACGGAATCATGATAGCCAATGAGGTGGTGGATTGGTGGAAGAATTACAAAAAGAAGGGCATTATTCTTAAGTTGGATTTTGAAAAAGCATTTGACTCAGTAAATTGGAATTATCTGTGGTCCATGTTAGCAAGCTTTGTTTCTGTAATTCTAGATGGATAAGTTGGATCGACAGAGTGTTGACCTCAGCTAAAATCGTCTATTCTGTCAATGAGTTCCAACTGGATGAATTCTTACCAAAAAGAGGGCTAAGGCAAGGAGATCCTCTCCCCCCTTCCTTTTCAACATTAATCAAGGGTGCTTCAGTGGGCCAAACTAAATTGAAACAATCCCATCTTCAATTTGCTAATGATTCTATTTTACTATGTGAAGCTAAGGGAGAAGAACTAGTGACCATTAAAAGAATCCTTTGACGCTTTGAGATAATATCAGGCTTGAAGATAAATTTTCACAACAGTGTGCTTTGTGGAGTAGGAATTGATGATGGCCTTGCCCTGGATTTGGCAACCAT